GCTTGTATAACAATCAGGCGCAAGCTCTAGAATCAATACAGCATACTTGTGTATTTGTCATTTAGGGAAAATAGAGTCACTCCAGTCAGGGAGTGCGATAGCGATATTGGATGTTTTCCTGATGTCCTGATGTGATGAGATTGATTGCCCTTAACTACTGACTGAATTTAACTTCCGTTTACCTCATACGGGCGCGAGACATACCACACATTTCCTATTGCCTTGGGTTAAACGGACATAAATAAATGCTTTATTGTTATTATTGTTGTTATAAAAATTTAAACTGATTATTGATCTCAAAAATAATTATCGATTTGCCTAACCAACTAGTGTTTTAATAGTTGCCTCATAGAGATATATACTTATTTCTTATCTGACAAGGCCTCGTCTGTCTGCGAGACCATCGGATTGGAAATTTTATTCATGTAATGCGTCGCCCCGCATAAAATATCGATAGTTTTACGCTACTTTACGATTTTATCAGCGAGGGGCAAGAAAAAGGCTACCGGCCCTAATAAATTCTAATAGATTTATTAACTCCCGGAGTTAATAAAAGATACTTTTAAACGTGATAGGCGATAAACGATAAAAACGACCGTTGTGGTTGTCTCTTTTGGCAAATTAAATTTAAATAATTTAGAATTCTTCGTTTGATCGACAATGTCAGGTAAAATTACCACAGAGTCGATTTCTATATAACATATAATTTGGACCAATTAAACTTTGAATGTATTAACGTTTCTTGTGTTAAAGTTTGCTGCCAATATGCAAACTGAAAGTTACTAAATAGAAACACTTAGTTTTGCTTGTCTAATGCTTTGTCTAACCTTTTGACCAATACCTTCTGTCTTTCCTTTGCCGACTGGTCCTGTCATAAAAAATTTCGTCGGCCGTGATTAAAAGTTAATTGGGTTCTGTATAGGTAGCCGTATTTTCATGACATAATACCATTATACCATCGAAGCTTATCGGTGTCAGAATTGCCGAAAGAATATGAAAAGAAAAACTTCAAAAAATATTCAACAGAATTGAACAAAAGACGAAGGAGCATTACACATTGCAGACGCTGCTGGTGTTCGCGTCCAAAATAATTAAAAGTGAACATAAAATAGTGTCAATCAATTTTAAATTTTGATTAGATTAATCCTTATTTGATATGTTTAAGTAGTTTTTTTGTTAAACTAAATATTATTCTGGCTTGAGTGTTACCGAACTATATATACAGCTCTAAAAATAGGTAATTCTTAAATTAAGATTAAATATGGCAAAGGAATTATAAAAATTCCATGTGTTGAGGCCCTACAGGCTCTCCTCGTCAGCTTAGGATTAAATTATTTAATCTTGATCAAAGCCCAAATATGAAAGAGGAATGTTTGAATTGCCAAAAAAAAGTACAACAGGTATGGAGAAAATAAATGGCATAACAATATTAAGGGTTACATATAGAATTATTACAATAAGAAATGACCTTGATATTGACTCACTTTACAAAATAAATAGGTGGATATGCTTACTGTGCTGCAAAAAACTTTTTATATAGGAATGTAATTGCTTCACGCTCTATACATTAAAAAATGAATTATTATCCATTTAGAATGTCAATATAACGGCAAATAATATCATCATATTTAATCAGTATACAAAATAAACTTCACGCAAACCGATAATACCTAAAATATATCAACATTATGCTGGTAACTCTCGTCGTTGAAACAAATTAGGTAGGCGTTTTGCACATCAAGTTTTATATTACCTTATCGGGCGTTTTCCGGCAGACTAATCCCGATTTATAGAGTAGAAAATGTACAAAATGCCAATGCGTTTCAAAGCTTTATGAATTTTTGTTAGGTTTAACATTGTCAAATCTATCAAGGAAATTACATCTAATCACAGAACAAAATAGTTAGCTTTAAAATATATCAATTTGTAAATATATTTATAATTAATCAACATAAGGACAAAGTTATTTAAGATTACCCATACCCAAATGCTAACCCAAATTCCGGATGTTTTCTAATTGAATATCAACAATTATAGAGGCAATTTTTGAGTCCATTTTAAAACGAGAACTTCATATAAACATAGATCCAAAACATCTTAATTCTTGAGATACAGGGTGGTAAGGTTTTCAACAATAAAATCATTTTTTTAAATATCTGCAATACCACTTTAAATGTTTTAATGAAAATCATTATTTAGTGTACCACATTTTTTTAAAAATACACCAGTGGCAGGCCTATGGAATTTTACCTTCCTATTTTGGCAGACATTGACATGTGAAATGTAATTTCTTAAATTTTTTCAATTCGATGTACGGTTCTCGCTTTAAGAAAATAAAAACCTGTTCTCTGCATGGTCATAACAATATCTTTAATATGACAGTATGAAGAAAAAATAGTTTTTATTTTTAAGTGAAAACCGTGCGAAGGACTAAAAAGAAATTAAGAGATCAAGTCTGCTCCTAAATGAATCCAAATGTAATTAATTATTCTTTAAAGAAAATCATCTAAAACAAAAACTATATAAAACAAAATATCTAGCACCGCATCTACTGAGTTTATTATAACCGAATTGTCAAATGAAATAAATCAACATGGGGAAGAACAAAGGCTGGTTTGTCTTCAAGCAACCACCATAATTTTTAAACTTGAAGTTCTAACTTTTTTAAAAGTCATATAATATGAGTTTAAAAAGTCTGTGTTATCTTCATAAACGTTTAAAATAGTTGCCGTTAAAGTAAACTATAAGATTATTAATTGAAAGTTCAATATAAATGTGAAATTTTACAATTTATAGTGTAACAAGAATAAATTATCTCAAATTATGTTGTATGGTGTTCGGCGGACGATTAGCCAAACCTTGTAGTACGCATATAGATAGATTTTTTTATATCATTGATTTTGCAATTTTTAAAAGCATTTGCTTTCTTATATATGTTAATATTTTTCAACATTTGCCAAACCTACATTGTGTGTATTTTTAGTCCGAAAGGATCCATGTTCTATTAAAGTCATGAGTTATGACTAGCCACGAATACTACCGCAGAGAATGAATATTATTTGGAAGTGCTCTAAATTGCCGTTGAATTTCGATCCATTAGTTGGCGAAAGTATTGTTTAGATACTTTTTGACTATGGCCCGATAGTGTGCGGGATACCCATCATTCTTGAAGATGATTGGTCCATCGTGATATCAGTACACTACTCAATAGTTTGAAAAAAATGTAATTCTCGCTGTTGAGATTACCCCGCAAATAATGTGGACCGAGGATCTCCCGATCACACTTACCCAAAAATTGACGCCGAACCTCGTGAAACGACGTTGCCTTGGGCAAAAGCGGGCTTTGGTTTTTGTCGGCCTAAATGGGAGAGGCAAATGTACGTTGTACTGGTGTACAATGGAAAGCATGATTTCCGTCTACATTGATGGCTGACCATGCTTTCCATATAGAGACTTCAAGATGTGTAGCTGGTTTTTTATGTTAAGTTTTTCATGCTAAGTCACACAGAAGACGCTAGTGTTAATATTTTGTAAAATAAATAACTCATCGATTCATATGTTTTTCCTACTCCGGTATGTAAAATGTCCAATTACACACAGATCTAGCGTGCGGGAAGCGTCACTCTACCACGTCAGTTTCGTTTCACACGGATCCGAGCCACTTCGGACATTCCCGGGATTTTATCGCACGGATTTAGGTTAGATGTTTTCGGAGATATTTCGCACGCCTTGAATTTTAACGTTTGTCAATTCTGACTGTCATGTCAGTGAATGTATTCGTGTTGTTTTGCGAAAATGCACCCAAAAACTAACGGTCGTAGAAAAAGTATAGTACGTAACACGTTCGGTAAACTTTTTAAGTCATTCGTTTATTAAACACTCGCTCCGCTCGTGTCAAATAAACTTGTGAGTCAAATGCCGTTTACCGCACTACCTTGATATGGCCAATTTTTATAAGTTACTACCTACAAGTACATATATAGATATCAAGGTACCTCATATTACATTCGTTATATTTAAAATACATTATTACACACCAGAACGTCGGTTTTACGTTAGGTAATTGATTTAGTATTTAAATTTGAAGTTATTTCTGCGACACACGAAACAAAAACTATACCTAGATATCTAATTCACTATATAGCGGGCAGATAACTACCTATTTAGATATGCTATAGGATTATACGATTTCCTAAAATATACGATGGTATAACTGTGAGATTTTTATTTTAGTCAGCTTAAGGTAAATTCGGACTTAACTGACATGTTGCTGGAAATACACGAATAATGATGTGCATGGCTTCTCTCATGTAAATTTCGTAAAGGTATAATATATGCCATTCCATTTGTTGCTTCTGGGCCTGATTTACATACCGTACGTTTCGTTTTTGCTAATTAAATGATTTTTTCCTTGCCTGCAACGATATAATTATTATGTTCCGTGCCTTGGGTCGTCGTTAGCGACATTCATATTTATTATTATTATTATTTATCTTCGAGCACGCATAAAGTAACAAACAACAGGTTGGCGCTGAGCTACCAGGTTTCCGAGAAGATAAGTCGATATTAGGTCGTTTCACTTTGCAAATGTGTACCTGCCAGTTATATTTTTATGCAATACCAGAAATACGAGTGATCAATGTTTAACTTTCTGTCTTTCTTTTTGTTGCTATGTTTGGTAACTAAAAAACCTGATTTAAAGACAAGTATATGCTGCATACAAAATATTTTAAATTTATACGAAAAAGATTTTACAGTATATTTGGCGACATCTATGGAATGATAGCTTAATGGTAATCGCTTCTTCAAGAAGTTTCCTTTGTTGTACTGACGTTGTTATAAACGCCCCACCGAGATGGCTGTTACTCTTAATTTTTGCAGCACGACGTTTTTGGAAGAACAGGAATATTCCACAGACCTGAATTTAAAAATTGTAAGATTCAAACCAATGTTTAATGTTCAATTATCAATCATGAAAATATACTCGAAAAATTACTTAATATATAAATCTTATTTACAACCCGAGTTCATCTGCAAATTCTAATACTGTCAAAACTGATAATAATACTCTGGTTTGTTGTTTTAAGAAGAATTTAATTTATTTTTCTCGAATTCACGTCTTGAGTTGATGGGCAATAGAATGTTATATTAGTTTAATTTGAATGACAGTAATGTTTCGAGAAGCGGAGAATCTTTATAACCCACAAATTTGCAAAAAAATTTCTGGTTTCTGTGGCAAGAGGGTTATGCGGATAAGTTAGCACATTAGAATGCGAAATGTTTCCTTCTAGCAGCCAGTTCAAACATTGGATATTCCGTAACGAAGAAGAAATTACCAGTTTACGAGAGGAAACTAATAACAAACATATTCAAATTTACGGTAGACAAATTAATGTAAGATCATTCCATGTAGGTATTAAGTTAAATTCTACATTAGCTCAATTTTAGGAAGCATCAAAGTATGACTTTTTCCTTACCCCTGACGAAGAAAAAGTTATGGTCAAACGTTATGAGTTGTACCTTAGAGATTTTTGCAAACGTTTCCAGCCTCCAATGCCAAGATGTGTAATAGGAACAGCATTTCATTATTTCAAACGTTTCTATGTTAATAACTCAGTGATGAATTACCACCCAAAAGAAATTATGTGACTAATGCTTGTGATAGTTCTAATACTATAATATTTATATCATTTGTAGGGTTACTTGTGTATATCTTTCATGCAAAGTTGAGGAATTTAATGTTTCCATGCAGCAGTTTGTTGCCAATATAAAAGGAGATAGAGAAAAAGCCACAGATATCATCCTAAACAATGAACTGTTACTGATGGCACAACTGAAGTTTCATTTAGCCATACACAACCCCTTTAGGCCAGTCGAAGGCTTACTTATAGACATTAAGGTGAGCAACTAACAGTCAAAATTCATTTTTAAACAAAGTTTTCCCTAGACCAGAGGATCACTCCACGATCCAGAAAGGTTACGACCTGGAATTGATCAATTTTTGGAAAGAGCCTTGCTCACAGATGCAATATTGCTCTATTCTCCCAGCCAGGTAGCTTTGGCTGCTATTTTGCATGCAGCCTCTAAATTACAAGAGAATCTTGATTCTTATGTGACTGATATTTTATTTGGGGTTGGTGGTCGAGATAAACTTGAAGTGTTAATTGATGCTGTGAGAGGTAATTATTTAGGACAGTAAAAATTGATGTGAATTTTCATTATAGTGTGAGATGGGTTTCAGCTATAAGATCTATGGTGAAAATGGTAGATGCAGCACCAGATAAGAACCTGCAAAAAGTACTTGATAAAAAATTGGAGAAATGCAGAAATCCAGAGAACAACCCCGATAGTGAAATGTAAGTGTTGTTATTTAATATATTAAAACTGTGGATTGGAAAAAATTTAGGAAATCAAAATAATTTGTTTGTATTTCACATTTTTATTTTTGGAACCTCTATGTTTATTAAATGTAATTTTAACATGAAATTTGATATGATATTAAATTTTTAAACTATTAGTTTTTGAATCATATATTGCATATCATCTTTATCATTGGTTACTATGGCTTGGTCATCTGCGAACTGAAGAGTAAACAAGTATCCACCATCAATTTCTATCCCCATGCCCTGGACCTTTCTTTTCAATTTTTTTAGTGCCATTGCCACATATATTTTAAAAAGGGTGGGGGAGACACAGCATCCCTGACGTAGTCCTTCATTCACCATGACCTCCTCCGTAATGCATTGGGCGACCCTTATTCTTGATTTTTATTCCCTATATAGTTCTTTAAGAGCTGCTATGTAAGTGTGATTTATGTTGGATTGCTCTATGACCCTCCATAGCTTTATTACTGGGCCTGTGTCGTATGCTTTTTGTAGGTCAAAAAATGTTAGGTGCGTTTCCAAGTTCCTGGCACTTCTCTTCTCTATAACTTGTTTTAAGGTAAACACATTATCAGTACATGATCTTCCTGCTCTGAAACCACATTGTTCTTCTTCCTCTTTCTCTTTATAGTCTTCCTCAATGAGAACACGTAAAATTCTGCCGTACATTGCGCTCATTGTGCTTGTAACCGAAATGCCCCGATAGTTATTGCAGTCCAGTTTATTTCCTTTTTTGTGAATAGAGGAGATAAGAGAAGAGCCACTTTCCATTCCTTGGGAACGGGATGTCCATTCAAGCATTTGTTAAAAATTGTCAGATTTCTAAACTTGTTTAAAAAAATTTAAATTTTGAAATTAAAATTAAACAAATTTTAAAACTAACGGTTTTACACGGCTCGAGATTCTTGCAAGGGACTTACGTGCTGTTTTTATGGGTCAGCGCCATTTTTCTTTCGCGCAAGTTGCAATTCTGTAAACATCAATTGTTATAGTATCATTATCACTTTTGTTTTCAAAATCAAAGTGAGAAAATTATTTGACTAGCATAGTAGCGGATATATTTGGGGTTAATAATATTGGTTACATTTAGGTTGTTTGTTTGATGTCGGTAGTTATGTTTTAATTGTACCATGTCAAGCACATGCAATGCAGGCATGCGGGCAATATTTTGCCCTTGTAATTTCTTGCAAACTTTATTGCGCCTTGTGACAACTTACTGCTTACTTAAAAAAGGGTCGTAGTTTCAGGGACTTAGGAGGATCTATATCATATTATTGCCTTGATTATCTCGAAAACTCGCGAAATTACCTCAAGAAACACTGAAATAAATAACTTTTTTTTTTCTATATTGGTTAAAAACTTAGAGAGAGATAGAGTCATTACACATGTTTTTTCAAGAAACAACCGTACAACCTGTATACTGTAAAAGTGTATTAGACCACTGTTATCATAATGAAACCTTTGAAAACCCGCTGTTTCTTATATTTTACAATACTTCGTGCCTACCACAATAAACCGTAAAATTCCTTTTTTTGTCATATTTAGTTACAAAAAGAAAATGCAAGCAATGTTAGACGAAGATGATATTTACTTCGCGATCTCCTCGCAAAACCAATCCAGGGACAATTCAGCACTAAATATCAACCCACCTGCATCACCGGAGTTTCCCTAGCTGCAGATAATTGTTAGTCTTTTAAGATTTAGTTAAGTTAAAAACTTTTTTTTTGTAAAATGTAAGGGACTAGTTTGTTGATACTGTAAATTCTCGCTTCTACATTACGAACGTACTTTCAGTAGACTTACCGTTTTTGTTTTTATAGAGTAGTCTACTGTCTATGTCAACAGCATTATCACAAATAAATGCCGGTTTGTTATAAAAATCTTTTATTTCCTTACATCATTTAAGACTAGAGTTACAATAATTACATATTTAGATGCATTTTCAAATGTCTTATACATTTTAAAACGAACACATAAAAAAATCAAGGTACAAAACAAAAGAAGCGGACCATTTAGCTACAAGCTTTTAATTTATGTTTACAAAGAGAGTCACGAATATTTATCATTTGTAATTTTGTTTGTTGTTTTGGCATTTGAAGATGACTGACTAATCCATCCAATTCAAACTGAGAGTGACGTCGGTATGTTGAAAAACATTGGCAACGTCAGAGAAGTATGTAATGTAATGTAATGTTTACAAGTTTCTTATAGTGTTGAAATTAGCACAGTATTACGTATTTTGCGTTTTTGTACTTAATATTTTATAATAGTTTAAAGTTAGAAAAATGAACCTATAAGCAGCAATAATTATAAACCAAAAACATGGTAAGTCAATGTAAAAAATAAATTAATAATTGTTTCAAAAACCAAGACAGATATTTAGAATCATTCTGATTTATTGTTTGCTTGTCTAATAATAAAGGAATTATAAAAGTAAAAGCAACAACAGTAGAAACGGCATCCGTAATTATCTCATTAGGTGCTTTGAAAGGAACCTCAGACTAAAATGCTTTAAAAAAGGAACCTATGGTAGCTTCCATTTAATATTTGGTTCGAGTTGAAGCGTATTGCCGGTTCTAAACCACTTCAGGCGGAAAAATTTGGCTATATTCGGGTTGGCGCAACAGAAGTTACATTTTTTTAAATTCGAGTCATTAAATACACTTAAACAAACTAATTGGAATTAGCAAAGGTTCAACTCACAACTTAGTTTGTGTAAAATATAAAAGTTAAGAGAGAAGCAAATAAAAATACTAAATGGTAGTTACGCATCTCATTAATTTGTTGAAACACCAGGATATTAGATCTTAGGTACCATAAATCACAGCTTAAAAATTTGTTAAAACCTCAAAGGCTAACGTGGCAAATTTCACAATCTAAGGATTTTCAAAATGCCGACCAAAATTTTGAAGTTGTAACATCGCAGAACATTCCGGGCCAGCTTCCGGATGCGTGTATTTCAAGTAATTCGAGCTGTAAGAGCTGGGTATGGCGGAGTGTAATTGGGAAGATAGTTGATTGCTCTGCGTCGTCGGCAGCCCATTGGACAGCACAGGAGAAGTTGTTGAGAGACCCGGCTGGCCAGGATAATTGAAAAACCTGCAAAAATGTGCGTAATTTGAACAAATGAGAGTTTCAAATGTATCCAATGAACTAAATAAAATTTTTAAAACAGATACAGTAAAGTGCTAAAACTCCTTATGTGCACCAAATATCACAGAAATATTGTTTACCACTAATTAATACATAATAAAAACGAAACGTATCTAATTGTGTTTCATCAACAAACTGAATTTTGACATCCAACAATTTTTTTGCCACATTTTCGTATTAAAAGTAGGGGAGATTAACGAACACCCTGAGTTTTAAATATTTTGAATTTTTGAATATCTCCAATACTTATACAGGTTGTCCAAAAATTTATTCTAATCTAATAAGAACGGCAAAATACGGTTTTTGGCGTTTTTTAAGGTGTTTTCTAAATATTTGGATATTTTATCTAATTTATTTGTATACGCTATCAGTTTTGTCCATCTGGCTATAGTGGTATAATTTTTTGTAATTTTTTTAATTTGTATCGTTATTGTTGTAGTGTTTTTCCAAAGAGTGTATTGATATAATTTTTATCCTTTGACAATTTCATCAAAATACAGGTTTTTCTTCTGTTTTATGTCATTTTTAATCAATTTGGAATATGTAGTTGCCGCAGCCTGGATAACAAATTATTTCTCAAGTTTCTCAAAATTTGTAAATATTTATCCATTATTATTGTTAGAGTTGTGTAATTTTGTCATTTTTTTTGTGCTAATTGACCGAAATTATTTTAAAAATTCCAAGAAATTTATATTTATTTATTTATATTCTACGTTACGTCCCTGTCTCGTCGTTCTGGAAACCAAATAGAGTGCACATTATTATTGGGATTCCCCGAATCGCATAGTATCGTATTTGGGAATTTCTCGGAGAGGGTTATAGGTACATTGGACATCACAAACGCAGGATAGTTTATAATAAAAGACAAATTATTATTAAATAATGACAGGTAACAACCCTCTACATGTTATTTAAAACAATTTTTGAATACTCATTTAAGAAGTGGAAAATTCACCGGTCATTTAAGAAGTAGTCAATTCACCGGTCAATTAAGAAGTAGTCAATTGACCAGTCCCAACACTAATTATTGTTATTATTCATGTTATTGTTCAGATTACTTAGTTGTTGCAACGCATTGCTTTTTTAAACAAATAGTATGAAAGTTATAGACAAAAACACGAAATTTAATACCATATGATATTTTAATACCATTCGATGGGTAGTTGAAAACTTTGTGTTTTGACCACAATATTACTTGTCATGTAGCACGAATAACCTGGTAGTAAGGATCTACAAAATAATGTTCTTGAAATATATTCAGCACTTTCAGTTTACTAAGTGCGAATTAAGTTAAACCTTAATGCATATTTCTGTCGAATTAAAGAACTAATCAGATGAATATAGCAAAAAAAATTCAACTTTTTTTAGTAGAATATGGAATCGTTAATCAAAACCTTGAAATTCTAAATTTTGTACGTATGTATCATGTGTTTGTATTATCAGCGTAGCTAACGCCTCTATATGTGTATCTCATATAGCTAGCTATATTTTACGATATTTTCGTAGAGAAGGGAATGCTTTTCCGCGGATGCATCTAAATTTCACCCACTAAAAAATACTGCCATAAAAATTCCGCAACCAAACTTATTGACGATCTGACAGCCATGTTGAATACCGCAAAGGTTAACGAGATTTAAATTGAATGGACCTTCTTAAAACTTTTTTCATAGTTTCTTCTTACGTTCCTGTATTATCGGCGTAGAGAGGGATATATTTCTAGTAGCTATATGATATATCTTCGTACGTAGCTGTAGTTCGCGTATGTCAAAACCTCTTGATCTTAATATAATGTCACATGCATCCGTTAGGCAATAAAATGCACAATTTATTCTTAGTATTATTATATTTTAAATGAATTTATAAGATTTAATATTACTCGGTTTTCTATAGTAGATACTTTAACAGAATCTCGATACAACATCCATTCGATTTAAAAGTTGAAACACAAAATATTTTACGACCTTTTTACTGAAATTTGTTTGAGCGGCATTGCTCTTAGAAGAAGCGAATTACCATAATCTGTCTCCTAAAAATATGGGCCTGGGTGTCAATATGCCCATCGATGTATAATATTGCTGAGCAAACAGTTCTATATCGTTAGTGTACTTTCGTTTCCACTTCGTCCTCCTATTTTGGAACCATATTTTTATCTGAGTTTCAGTCAGTTTCAGTGCTTTGGATAGCTGACATCGTTTAGCCACGGACAGGTATTTGTTTTTTTCGAATTCAGATTCCAGCGATTTTATTTGGGAAGCGGTGAACGCTGTCCTCGGTCTTTTTTTGCGCTCCTCGTCCGACTTGGGATCCTGCGACGATGAGAAATCTGTAACAAAAACAGGGTCGTTAGTTACTCAAATTACGAATTGTTGTCTTCTCTAAAACAACCTTACTTTTTAGCTCCATTACAGCAATGACAGCCTTGGCTGCTATATTTCCGCTGATACTTACAAAATTTTATAAAATTAAAATTATATTGTTAGAAAAGTGCCGATTATAATTTATAATGTAATTGCATTTATATTTTTGCATTTAAAAACTTAATACGTAATTCGTGAAATAGTACGGTTGGGTTTGATTGTTCTGTTTTCATTTATTGCTAACATCAGGACTGGGATAGGCCTCGCAAATGTCCTTGCTGTCTTTCAAAGAGCTGTGAATTTTGCATCGGGTCCACTAAAGGATTCGATAGCTTTGGTTTACCTTGACGACATTTGGTTCCTAGTGTTATTCCAGAAGAAGGCCTTAGAACATTAGAAAGTGTCGTACCCTCCTTAGGGTACCTAGGACGGGAAACATCTGGCGAAGGTATAAGACCAGGATACGCAAAGATTCACCTTCAGCCTTAATAACGTGAAGCAAGTAAGGCAATTCATGGGGCTCGCCGGATACTTTCGGAAATTTGTACCTGGTTGCGCGAGTCGCACCGCATAACAAGATTAACAAAGCAAAGTATTCGTTTGAGTGGAAAGAAGAACAGCAAGAGGCCAGGCAATACATAATAAAGCATTTGACGTCCAGACCACTGTTTTTCATCTATAATCCCTAACTGACTTTCGAATTACACACGGATACAAGTAGTATTGGCTATGATACCAAGTTAAAGTTTACCATTGTCACGGACTGCAACACCATAAAAGCGAAGGCCAACAAAACGGACCTGGTGCCACATATTGCGCGATGGTGCATTTACCTTCAAGATTTCAAGTTCGACATAGTGTACCGCCTGCAAAGGAGGTAGCCGAGCAATGCCATGTAAGAGTTGAGAAAACTTACGAATCTATAGCTGAATACTTTTGGTTTCCTCGTATGAGGAATTTCGTTAAAAGCTACATTAAACATTGTGTAGTGTAGGTGAAAAAAAAAGCGGACTGGCCCTTTACAAAAATTTATAAGTCCAATAGAGAAACCCACTGATCCCTTCGACGCATTGCATATGCATTGTTTGAGGCCCCTTACTTTGTCATCTGATAGATACAAGCACATATTGGTAACAGTGTACGCATTGACCAAATATTGCAGCATTTTTCCCATGAAATCGGTAACTGCTGCAGAAACTCGTGAAAAGCTTGAATGGAAAATTGAGTATCACTTCGTCACCCGTGGTAATGGGCAGGCGGAGAGATATATGAGATCAATTAGAAATCTTCTGAGGGTTGAAACAAAAGTTCAGCCACAATGACCAAGTGGGCTATGGAAGATTCAGTTAGTCTTGAATACAGTCCATAAATCTACGCAAGGACAACTATGAATTGTTAGGAAATTGTTAAATGTTTAGCCCACAACCGTTATGAGATAAAAAAGATGGAACTAATGTAGTCACCAAAGCCGCGAAGGAGCAGTTAAGGTCGTGGGCGACGGAGTGGTCATTAACTTGCGATATGCAGGACATTTTAGAGTTCTTAGAGGGAGATGACGAGGTAACTTAGAATGTGTTAGGTGAGTTACTTTAATGCTTTATTTGTCCTAGTTTGATCTTCGATAGTGGTAGAGCCAACTGGATGACTGTGGTCTCCACAGTGTTTTATTGTTGGCTTTGTTTGGTCTTTGTCCCTCTAGTGGTTGAGCCAAGAGGATGGCTGAGGTCTCTACAGTAATAAAAACTTTATGGCCAATTTGACAAGTTAACTTTTTCCCCTTTCCGGAATTAGTCCAGCAGTCGTGAGGCGCCGAGATCGTCCTCGTTGACAGTACATAACTGGAGCCGCCGCCGGTCGCCGAAATTGAGGCAGAGTGCAAGTATTATGATAACGCATAGTTTGTAAACGTTTTTTTGTGAGACGATGTGATTACGAGCGAATTTTTGTTGGGAAGCTATTCAATTCGAGGCTCTCGGGTAATACGCCTCTCAGAGGTTTATTTGGACTTCTATTTTTGCATTTAAAAAGTTAATACATAATTCGTGTAATAGTACGGTTCTGTTTAATTGTCCTGTTTTCATATATTCCTAACAATATTTACTTGAGAGAAAATTCCTTTATTTTTTAAGAAACCATGACAAAACTTTAACAGTAGTGGGTGATCTAAGTTCAAGTTCAAGTATGCGTTTCACAAAAAATGTTGGGCTCGACTGCTAGGATCATTCGCCCATTGCCGACTTCCGTCGAGGATCTTCGCTTTTGGTCATTGACCAACACGTACAAAGAAGACATATAACCAATATTTGCTCAACTAGCAAAAAAAGAAATTTGACCGATACCAAAAAAAACCGACACCCCCCGCTTCCGCCGCGGACCATCCGGGCCCATCCGGCCACCATACCGGCGTGAACGGGGAAAAACGAAGGGATCGGCGACGATTATCACTTTACAACGTTTACAAAACACTGACAACACTAAATCCACTCAGTGGAGACCGATTTCAAAATTTTTGGACGATTACAAAGGATTCTGTAGGGAACGAACGGAGGTTAAACCGCCGCGTGCAATGTTCCACCACAGAATCCCTAGTGAGTGATCTATGATGCCATCTTTTAACACTCTTCTTAAATGAACATGAACAACATGACAATGTACAGTTGACTGATCTTTTGGTAGGAACATCAGCTAAATTGTTATTTCCCTACATACAACGGAAACATGGCTGATTTTTTGTAAACTAGCTTACTGCTGTGTTGACATAAAATCCAACAAAACTCTTTCATTAAACACTCGTATCGCTGCGTTTCGTCGATGCCAAACCAAACTTGCGACTAAAGTAGCGTTTATCACACTTGTTGCACAATATGCTATTTGGTCATTTTTTATTAGAAAAATAGAATTATGTCTAATTTACTATATAAAACATACATACATTAATGTGATAATATTATACCTAAATATTTATTATTTTCAATCATGGAGTCTCTTGTACCCAAGACAACTGATTTTTTGTATGATTATCTTAGAACATGACACTTGCATATGTGTAGAAAAGTATTCGGAAAATAATTCACTTGTTTGAATCACATAGCAATAGCTTGGACCAAATAAAATTTTAATCATGGCCTACAAACTTTGTCATTTTCTAGTCTCTCCCTTTCTACAAGGTTAGACTTAGACTCAAATCATCGCTTAAATTTTTAACACCGTAACCTTTTTGGTATATTAAAACGTCTCACCGGTACCATTCATAACACAACAATTAAAAAAAAGTCAAAATAAAATCGCCAAAAAGTTAAAAAAAATAACAGAAAGAGAATGTTTTAACATTGACTAGAATGATAAGACGAAAAAAAGGAAGAAAATATGGAAGTGTTAGAAAGGGGCACACATAATTACGCTCGTTGTAAAAGTAAGTGTTCTTATTTAGTAACTTTTAGTTGCCAAATATAACACAATAAACGTCAATGCATTAAAAGTTTAGTTGAATAGTGGTTGAAACGACGGTAAAAATTGCTGCGACTTGCCATATTTCCGCTAGTGCACACTAACCTGGACTTTGTCTCTTTTTCTTTTTAAACAGCCTTAAACCGCGTCCACATCTGAGCAAACGAACCGAATGAGCACTTTGGGTCGAATGAGCATTCATTGGAGCGAATTTGTTTTGCCGCACAGGACCGCAGGAACCTGCATTCGGAGGCGCTACACAAAGTCTCAAATAAATTCAAACTTAAGTCGTCAGGTTCTACTATTCTTTTTAACTCTTGCTTTTTCTCGCCGAACTCTTTAGACTATCTATTTTTTTAAATGTCACTGACGTCCCTGATTCATTTTTTCAGCAATTTGCTGAAAAGCATCTTCTTTTTTAATTTTATTGAAATACAGTTGTTTAACTTTCCATAAAATAGGCCATTTCTCAAATTCTTTGTTTAGTTGTAAACGCATTTCTTGCGAAAAATCCACGTCGTACAGACCGAGCACGAATTTCCTTTGATGGACGGACAACTTACCAATCGGCTGGCGCACTGCATGAGCGTATTCAGCGCAGTGCGTGCGTCCGTCTACATCAGAATGGTGATTCGGCTCAAGTAGTGTTGTGTCAATCGTTCATTTTACGGGAACCGAATCGATTAGTGACCGATTTCGAATCATTTCAATCAATCGTTCATTTAAATACTTTTTGTTGCCAACTGCAAGCTATAAACCATAAGTGGCAATAGGCAATAAATCGGAAGAGTCCGAACAACCGATTCAGATTTATTTGAATTTAAATTATTTTTGGGTATATATGTTCTGTTTTTTATTTTAGTTAGTATAACATTTAGCTGTGTTCTGCTCTTTATTGCGTCATCATTTTATCAAAATAGGTGCTACCTATTGGGTTGTACGAGTAATATATTAATTTGTTAAAATTAAATGCCTACTTGGAAATAGATATTTCATTCAATATTCAATTCAACACATAACCAAATCTACCGATCGATATCGCAACTCAATACTATAGAATATTTATAACAATACTCCCATACCATTTCCAAATGAACCGTATTCCGCAAGGCGATTTCGATTTTTTTGGTACGGTCGGTCTATCTCACTTCACACCGGTCAGGGCGGCAGCAAGAGCGAAAAAGGTGATCGAATCGTTACGAATAAGGGGGATTCGGTCGTTCGATGCTATGAAGTGGTTGAATCAAAGTGACCGAATCAATCGCGCGATTGAAGAATTAATCTTTGTGGCTTCAAGTTTCATGGCTCACCGATGTAATTTTATATTGTAGCCATCCCAACCACATATTGGTAGTTTCTCCCTCTACACTTATAATACATTACACCATAGAAACAACACCAATAGGAGTGTGGAACACATTAAATTATAAGAATAAGAAATAGTAAACAATTACAATGCACTTTCGTGGAGAACATTTACAATTTTTGATTAGTTTAAATATGATTCACAAATAAAATTAAACCATCTGTGATTACGTATTTAAAAATATTAAATTTAATTAAATCATTGTTTATAACAGGAGAGCAATAATAAGTATAAATAAGTTTAAAATAATTGTTAAAGCAAGAGTGAACAATGTACAAGTACAATCTCATTTTATTATTTCTTAAAACGATACTTGCGGGGCCATCTATGTTCCAAAATTCGAATAATGGAGTAAAAGAGCCGAACGACAAAACACTGCTATCGGAGAGCATCGCAATAAGCTCGTGCGCGTATCCAGCGATGAAGATTTGTTTCGATTCCGATTGCATTTATTTTTTGATTGAAAGCTAAAGTTTCTGATAAAATTTGTTTATTTAGACACAACAAAGTGTACGTGAAATAATCAGAGTTTATTTGGTTGAATAACATTGTTTCGTAACTGGTGTGGCAAAAACAATTCGGACTAAAGGTTAAATTGGAGATATTATTCGACTACGACTACGAAATGAATTGTTATTGAAAAACGTGTGTAGAACACGTATAGTGGTTTGAAAATAGTGAATTCCCGAATGAGTTGCGCTGCTGAAAGAAAAAGTAGTGGCACACTACAGAGTCATTTTCTTTTGTAATTTGGATTAATTAAGCTAGCGGCAAACAAATTGCGTTGCATTTGGAAAGTTAGCACTGTTTGTGCCAAAAATTAATATCGGGAGCCTGCTAGACGTTAGCGTATTCACAACAAAAAAATTTACTATAAAAATAACTACACTGAACGGTTAAGAAACATGAATGATTCTAATTATCTAAAGTGTGGATGGTTGCGAAAAATGCAAAACTTATGTTTTTATACGTGTTTTAAATTGGAACTATTTTATAATGCGTAGTAATCGAAATACTTTCCTGAGCGTCAGTGGGTTGTTCTCGCTTAGACGATGTTTGTGTTATTTTTTGTTCGTAAACCGTGAAGGCGATTGATTTTTTTCAATTTTGATTAGTTTCTGTTATCGCTTTGGTGATGCCAAATCGTCAAGGATGTGGTCCGCCGTGAAAGCGGTTGATGTTTTTCAATTTTGGTTAGTTTTGGTTAGTTTCTGTTATAGCCTTGGTGATGCCAAACCTTTAAAAATGTGGTCCGCCGTGAAGTTAATCTTTTTTAATTTTTGTTAGTTTTGGTTAGCTTCTGTTATCGCCTTGGTGATGCCAAACCGTCAAGGATGTGCTCCGCCGTGAAGGCGATTGATTTTTTTCAATTTTGGTTATTTTTGGTTAGTTTCTGGTATCGGCTTAGTGATACCAAATAGTCAAGGATGTGGTCCGCCGTGAAGGCGATTGATTTTTTTCAATTTTGGTTAGTTTCTGTTATCGGCTTGGTGATGCCAAACCGTCAAGGATGTGATCCGCCGTGAAGGCGATTGATTTTTTTCAATTTTGGTTATTTTTGGTTAGTTTCTGGTATCGGCTTGGTGATACCAAATAGTCAAGGATGTGGTCCGCCGTGAAGGCGATTGATTTTTTTCAATTTTGGTTAGTTTCTGTTATCGGCTTGGTGATGCCAAACCGTCAAGGATGTGATCCGCCGTGAAGGCGATTGATTTTTTTCAATTTTGGTTATTTTTGGTTAGTTTCTGGTATCGGCTTGGTGATACCAAATAGTCAAGGATGTGGTCCGCCGTGAAGGCGATTGATTTTTTTCAATTTTGGTTAGTTTCTGTTATAGCCTTGGTGGTGCCAAACTGTCAAGGATGTGATCCACCGTGAAGGCGATTGATTTTTTTCAATTTTGGTTATTTTTGGTTAGTTTCTGTTATCGGCTTGGTGATACCAAATAGTCAAGGATGTGGTCCGCCGTGAAGTCGGTTGATTTTTTTCAATTTTCGTTAGTTTTGGTTAGTTTCTGTTATCGCCTTGGTGAGGCCAAATCGTCAAGGATGCAGTCTGCCGTGAAGGCGATTGATTTTTTTCAATTTTGGTTATTTTTGGTTAGTTTCTGTTATTGGCTTGGTGATACCAAATAGTCAAGGATGTGGTCCGCCGTGAAGTCGGTTGATTTTTTTCAATTTTGTTTAGTTTTGGTTAGTTTCTGTCATAGCCTTGGCGATGCCAAACCATCAAGGAGGTGGTCCACCGGAGAGGCGGTTGATTTTTTTCAATTTTGGTTACTTTTGGCTAGTTTCTGTTATCGCCTTGGTGATGCCAAATCGTTAAGGAGATGGTCCGCCGTGAAGGCGGTTGATTTTTTCAATTCTGGTTAGTTTTGGTGTTTTGGTTATCTGTTATAATTTTGGTTACATAATAACATCAGGTAGTTACACACATACGTCGCCGTGGTAAAGAGTGAGATCTTGAAACAATCATGCCATGGATGGGAACTAATTGTTTTCTTCGCTATAACTGGTACCGCGAATGTTTGGTATTTCCACATCCACCAAGTCGTTGCGCCTCGGTGAACGCTCACGAGCTAATTAAACCGCTGTAAATACTCCCGGGCGGCTCATAAATCGCCGCTAAATGCGCTTATGTGTCGTTTATAACCGAAACGAATGTCAGTTATACGCCTCTAATCGTCGCGGGCAACAGTGCCCCTAAATAACGCCGAATTTAAGGCTAAGCGTCGTGTTTACCCGCCGATAATATATCACACCGTCGTTTCTGTTCCCTTTTTATTTTTTCGCCGCGGAACGGGGATCGTTTTTCAGCGCGATCCGTCGGATCGTTAGCCGCTTAAAATCTAATTCGGTCGCCGGTTTGCGCCGGCGCAAATTAGCGTCGTCTTTAAGGATGTGTTCGCGCGATTTTCTCATCCGACCCGGTCGCATCATAAATTTCGACACGGCAAATTAAAAACAACTGTCGGGTGTTAAATTCGAAGCGCCGCCGTCGCCTTAATAGAGACGCGTCGCATCGTACCGGGGCACCTCGACTATGTCGTTTTTAATCACGGTATCCGCACCCGGACCAATTAAACGGTGATGCGTTGCGGATTTAATTGCCCTGGATCGGTTTACGGTTTACGAAAACAGATTCCTGACTTAAGTTAAATTATGAAATTCGATACGTAGAAACGGAGGACCCCGGTTGTTTTCTTTCGAATTTGTGTCAAAGGTATAAGCACTGCAAAATATGCAATAATACCTATGCTCTGTTTGTTGCGAGATAGATATAAATCATTATTGGACTTTCTGTTGTGTCAATCGCGATTGATTCGGTCCCTTTGATTTAATTACTTCATAGTATCGAATGACTGAATCCCGCTTGTTCGTAATAATTCGATCACCTTGTTCGCTCTCGCTGTCGCTCTGACTGGTATGAAGTGAGAAGGCGACCGATTGATTACAGGGCAATCGATTGATCGACCGTACCAAAACAAATCGAAATCGCCTTGCGGAATTTGATTGGTTTAAGATTTAAATGAACGACCGAGGCAGACCACGGAAAAGGAATGGGGGTATTGTTATAATTATTCTATTGTATTGAGTTATTGAATTGAATTGAATTCTATTGATATCTACTTCCACGTAGATATTTAATTTGAACAAATTAATGTATTACTCGTACAACCCAATATGTAGCACCTATTTTGATAAAATCATGATGCAATAAAAAGCCGAACACAGCTAAATATTATAATAACTAAAGCAGATTATAGAACATATAGGTACATCAAAAATTCAAATTCAAATTAATCTGAATCGGTCGTTCGTATTGTTCGGATTCAGTGACTATTGCCGCTTATGGTTTATGGCTTGCAGTTGGCAACAAAAAGTATTACAATGAAAGATTGATTGAAATGATTTGATCCTTTTCGAAATCGGTCAGTGATTGATTCGGTTCTCGTAAAATGAACGATTGACACAACACTAATTATACTAAATAAGAACTAAAAGTTCAGATTTTCACGAAATTATATGTTTTGACATGACAATTGTTTCGACAACATCGTGTCTTTATCAAATATAATATTTACAAACTACCTGTTACTATATATACCGAAAAATGACCATAAATCTTTAATTAATGTTGTTGTGAGAATTTAAGTTCAATAAAGGAGAGGTATTTAAATCTAATTTATTG